GTGTTGAGAGCTTGTTAAATGCTCAATGATATCTCTGTACTTCTTCTTTTTATTCAAGCCTTCCTGATTACTTGGAAACTTAGAGTTTAAATCTAGAGAGGATGGCCTACCCAAATCAAAATTTGCCTTTCCTGCACGTTTCACTTTACTGAATTCAGAAACCCGGTTCTCTGAAGTGCTCATTTTGTTATCTGACTGCTTCAAAGAACTTTTTCTCTCAAATTGCTTATTAACTGTCGTTTCCTCAGGCAAGGGCTCACGAAGCTCGTCCAAGTCTGAAAACTCTCTTTGGAGTTTACTGCCTCTGCCATTAACGACAGTGGATGCGGCTGCACCATTTCTGCTGTTACCGTTTGGTGAAGGACCCAATAACAGGCTGGAAACTTGTGCACTTCCCTTGATCTTTCCAGCCATATCACCAGTCTTTCTGATAGTGGGGATCCAAGGGCACTGACTGTTTGCCTCGGGTACCACCTTCCTTAGAATTTCTTGGAACCTTTCTCTCATTAGCATAACCATCCTCATTTTGAGTATCTCTATGAAATTTATCTTTTTGCAAGAGGAAACCGTCATGCATTTGAGAGCTCCTTTCAGAGTACTTCCCGCCATGCCCTAAACTCTCGGCATATCTATCTGGTCTTTCAAACAAAAGAATAATCCACATTTTAAAGACAAGAAAGATGAATTAAATTGTTGTATAAAATCTCCATCTTGCCATTTAATTTATAAACATTTGTCAAATTTTCTTGAACAATCAGTTGGATTCTAAGCCTGATGGGCCAATGGTAAGGAATTGTTCTTATAAGGTTATGTTAGTTCCAACCAGCCAAAAAACATTGATTTTCTTCATCATCAAACAGCCACAAGAATATTATATTTAATTACATATTAAAATGTCAACATTCTCTAGTTTTAACTGGACAATTCCTTCCATGCAGCTTGCAATATGGCATGGAAGTCCACACCCAATCGGTTTCTGACAACTAAAAAACACCACTAACTACATTTAGCATAAGAACATAGATCTTAGATGCTTTTTCAAGCAGTTCTGAGCACTGATTCTTCAAGCAGTTTTGAGTGCTTCAAGAACTTCAGTATGCTTCTTTAGGAAGCACTTGGTGTTTTAATAAAAACTTCAACATTTTTTTAAACACACGATATTATTTAAATTAAAGATATTAGAGTGGATTAAATTTTACAATGGGCTAGCTATAATAATTTGGTTCAAATTTGCATTTACGAGAATCGAACCTAAGACCTCTCACTTACAAGTGAAAATAAATACTACTATACCATAGTGCTTATGAGTTATGAAATTCCAAACAAGCCTACATTCTCAAAGAATTTATTCCGCAAACCAAACGGAGATAGAAATGGAAAATTATGGATAGGCAGAACACTTGGTGAGAAATCAGTGTGATAACTTAGAGCAATCAAAACAATCTTCTCATCTCCTCTGACACTCAAATTCCAGGAGCTGAAGAGAGAACTACGATTTCATGCCAAGCATACAAGCGTAATAACTTCGGAAGGACAAGATCCAGCTCATGATGCAGCAACTCCTCATCCTCTTCAGACTTTCAACTTCTATTTCTTTTCCCCGGAATGCACATAAATCAAATGGTGATAAATGTATCTAGATCATAAATCTACTAAAATGAAGTTAAAATAAAAAGTCAAGATTATCCCAAAACCCAACTACTCAAAAGTCTCCAGCCGCACCTTTTCGCGTCTTTCCAATCCTATTTCCTCTCCACTTTATTCTTCTCTCTTTTCCGTTCCAGCTAACCTCTCTCCTCCAATCCTTTTTTTTTTGTTTTTTTGTCAATACTCCTGTAATCTTGTTTTCCGGGACTCTCTCTTACTCCTCTTCCTTCACAACCCAATTCCAATTCCCCTTCTCTGCCATGAAGAAAAAATTGCACAAAATTGCAAAAAGAATTGTAGAAAAATTGCATAGGTGAAATAGAAAAATTGCAGAGATGAAGGAAGAAGATAAAGTGTGAGAGGAAGAGGAAAAATTGCAGATATGTATGAAGTAAACATACACAACAATAAAACAGCATGCAGATATACACAAGTGGGTAAGCAACATTTGAGCCACCATTTTTTCATTAGTGTTCGAATAGCATATCCTATTATCTATCTTCCAAATTTAGGGTATTCTCAAGCCACTCCCCGGCCACATCAGATAAATTTTCGTTTTACCTTCCATCCATTCAGCATGTACTATGTTAGTCATCAATTATTATTTTTTTTTTCTTATGCATTCTGCAGTGCAATATAAACCCTATATGTTTCTAATCTTGTGGTTCATTAAGAGCTTGAGAAAATGGTCGAGAAGACGTGGCAAGTTTGCGACATAAGAACGACACTTACTATTTCCCAGAGGTTAGTAGTTCAAAACCACCAAAGTTTCGAGTTAAGATCAACTAATGGTTGAGCACCTAAACAACAACAATAACAAAGCCTTATCTACTAAATGGGGTCGGCTATTTGAATTCTAGAACGCCACTACGTTCGGAGCACCTAACTAAATAAATTATCCAATGGCAAATCTTATATTCTTATGTGTTACTCCGAAGCTGCATAAGTTATAGGCCTTCATATAATCAACGGCATCTGATAATATATAAAATTAATTATTAAAATACTTGTTTCATCAATATTAAATATTTTAAATTACCCGTACAAGCATTTTATGACATCTAACGGGGATCACTTTGCCATTATTCCCTGACCATTCTGTTCCTCACCACCAAATCTGAAATCATTGAACAAACAATCAAAATCATAGACGCTAATTACCCAGCAGTATAAAAAAAGGGTTAACTACAGCATTAGAGGAGAACCATTGCATAATGAACTTACAACAATTTTGGGTGACAGCTGTCCATTCAAAGCTCCATTCAACTGAGGTGGTAATACAAATTATTGAACATCGATGAACCAGGATGTCACTTTCATATGATTAAAAAAGTCGTGTCAATTGCTCTGCCGATTCACCATGAGTAGGTGAAAAGTGAAAAGAATACTAGCTCTTGTTGAGGATGTCACTATTTTCTTCATTTTTGACATTTGTTTTAGACATTATGCATACTTCTCACATTTCTTCTTAGTCTATGGGTTTTCCCCATGCTTTGATAAAACTGGCGCAAACAAACCTAAACGACTGATTGTAGCATTTCTAGTGCAAAACAAACCAAGGTATCAAAGCATGAATCGGCGAGAGGTTTAGGGCGAGACGGAATTGGTGTGGAATTGGAATTTGGAATTGGCATTGAATTGGGATTTCTAGTGCACAACAATCCTAATTATATTGCTGGACTTTAACCGGTCAACTAGTCATATATCTTAGACTGGACTAACATGAGTTCTTGTAATTCAATGGAGTAATGAAATTGATTAATGTATACAAAGTAATTGATACTTCTAGTTGACAAATTAGGAAACGTGAAATGCAGCTCCAGAGCATGCATAGAAAGCAGCTTCATTTTTTAGATTTATGACCTAGGTACATTTATTGTCATTTGATTTATTTGACGGTCAAGATTTAACACTGTAAAATCTATCAAAATCTATAGAAATGTGTTATATGAATCTTCAAAATCCATATGGATTTGTAGAAGTCTATATAATCCTATGAAATCCATCCCTTATCAAAATCTATTAAAATCCTCTCAAATCCTAAGTTGACTACATCCTCTAAATCTATAGAATTGTAAATTTAATAATCATATCAATCACACAAGAGTGTTATATATACAGATATGTTTCGTAAGGTGCAAGACAACAATACTTGTCATATAGGTATACAATCACAGAATCATAATAGGAATCTTAAATCTATGAGGGACCGGATTCTTTGGTGTCTCTTTTAACAAAATCTAGTGCATAAGGTTTAGAATATGTAAATTGGCACGTTGCAAGTGATTTTCTAAAGTACTTTTATGAATAAGAAGGTTGAAATTTTGCTAAAGTAAAAGTTTAAGCGCTTATTGGAAATCCACTTGCAATTGCTTGCTTCCTCTGAAAGCCCTTGTAAGTTCAAACTTTTTTGCCAAACTTGGTTAAAGAGCTTTTGATTTATCCGAAAAGGCTTTGTATATACATCAAAGAGTCCCGTAGTCACTCACCGTTGGATTTAATTCAACGGTGGAGAAAAAATACAAAATACAAATCTACCGTTACCATCGTATTAGCATCGAATGGTAGATGACCACAATTTCCTTTGGAGAGTAAGAAAGGTGAAGTACAACTGATTTAGGTTCTTATTGTGTGGCTCAGCCTAACTCTCCATCTCCCTGTAAAATATATGGTCGTATTATAAAAAATAAAATAAAATAAAATAAAATAAAAAAGGTGAAGTACAATACTCGTGGAACAAGAAGTCCTAACTGATTAAGAAGTCCCCATAGATATCAACTTTAAGGAAGAAGAAAATACGTTAAACACAAATCCAATTTATAATCTTTTCCCCCTTTTTGTATTTCTTTTCGGAAACTAAGTCGTTTCCTATTCAGATTTTTATATTCCCAGTTAGCTGTTTTTGTGCGTCTTTGAAACACTATATAACATAACGTAGAGACAGGAGGGAGGTCGTAGTAGATTTAAAGATATTTGTGCTGCCATGAAAAGAAGAAGTAGATCCCAGTCGTCCGTTGGAGCACCGGTCTCTGAATATGTCCGCTCAAAACTATCAAAAACATCACCATCATCAAAAGTGATGAGTGCTACTCATATTGCTGATATCCCCGATGCTTTGTTGGCGGAAATAATTTCTCGGCTTTCAAGCAATAGATTCGTTTTTCAATGCAAGTGCGTGTCCAAGCGTTGGCACACTCTCATCTCGGAATCTTATTTCATCGGCCGCTTTCTAGGTCTCCAAATTGATAAGCAAACGCCAATCATACGCACTCTGATAAGCGTTGCAAGGAGAAGATTTACTTTCTAGACTGACACCGTCATCGTCATCGTCATCGTCAAGGGTGCTAACTCCGATGTTTGAAAGACTCAAGAGTTTCCACGGATTGAAAGAAGGTCCATTTGTGGCAGGGACGTATAATGATTTGGTTTTGTGCTCCGACCACAAATATTTTGCTCGTTCGTACTACATATGCAATCCGCACACCTTGAGCTGGGTTGCGCTTCCTCCTGCCCCTGCCCGAAGCAACGAGATTGCACACGTGGGATTCGTCTGCGATGTGCCCTACTATAACTACGAGGAAGGCGATAAGGAGGGACGACATGTCGTGCAGCTTAATGCTCAGTACAGGTGCAAGGTTGTTAGAATTCTTCCTCCTAGTGATGAGGAACTTACCTCCGATAAGTTTATAATAGAGGTATTCTCTTTTGAGACGGGAGAATGGAGAGAGTCATTAATATCATGCCCGCGAAAACTTCATCATGTTATGTTTGATCGCTTTGGCTTTGCTTGCAACAGAAGGTTGTATTGGTCAAATCACGTTGAGGGCCGTCTTCTGGTTATTGGGTTGGATCTGTTCAACGACAATAACATCACTATCACTAGTAAAGACAGCAGTGTTGATGATGAATGTCGTTTCACTGTATTTGATAAGCCTATGGATAAACACTCCATTCAGTGCTTAGGTGATCAGTGTGGAGGGCGTCTGCATATGTATGAGTTGGACATTGTCAGGAGAACTTTGTATGTTTGGGAGTTGAAAGAAGAAGATAATCAAGGAGATGGGAAATTGTGTTTGAGTGAACACAGGGTTTGTTCCTTGGACCCCGAAATGTACCACAATAATGCGTATCCACTTATAATGGCAAGTGTGGACCCGAATAACAAGGATGTTTGGTATCTGCGTGTGAATGAAGATGTTGTTATGTGCAACATTCAAACAAGGGAGTGGTCAATGATAGCTGAAAAGAGTGAAATTATTACGAGTATATACTTCTTCCCGTATGTGCTGCCGTGGTGGCCGACACCTGTTCCTAGACTACCACAGCAGCGTGCTAATCAGCTAGCCCGTGGAGAGGAATTAGCCGCGAGCTAGTACATAGGAAGAAGAAAAGTACCGAAGTTTTTATTTATTTAGTAAAACTGATATCTGTTGGTCAGCAGTGGCAACTAGTTTCTTTCTGTGTTGTATTTTTTTCTTTATTTCGTTTTTGCTCGGCGGTCTCCTATCTGTCTAGTGACCACATGTGTGAATTGAAGTTTAAGTAATAACAGCAGTTTACCACTGAAAGCAGAAAATCTCAGTATTTACCTTGAGGCTTGCTTGAGCAATTCCATATTTGCTGCTGGATCTGGATGTTTTGTATTTGTTTTTGTTTTTTTTTTTCCTTCTCTTATGGCCTTTCTTGATTGGTTCCATATTCTCCGCCATAATCTTCAATTTCAAAAGAGTTTCCACACCGAATCCCAAAGAAGGAAAACAAAAAACCTCCAAGTGTACCGGATTTCTTAGCCCTCCATCCATGAAGGCGCCGGATGACCAACTTGGTGACGCTAGCTAGGCCGCAATCAATGCAGGGATGATATACAGATAAACAAACACAAACCATTGTGACCTCAAACCCAAACAACATTCTCAGGATGTTCATGTTTGTGCACAGATAAAAGCAGGATGATGCAAACAAGTCTTGCTGCAGTTTTTTGGTCAATGGAAACTCCATTAATAGAAAAAGAGCTTAACTTGTAAGAACATAATCTTTCTGCCAACCTTCAAGGACTGACTAAATCGCTCGTACTTGAATGGGTGGCTGACTGACTGTAGCAATATTCAGGATTAAAACTATGTTGGGAAGTTAAAAACATATAACACTTGATTAGTTAAGAAGGGTATATTCATGAGAACTTTAACGAAAAGCTAGTACTATTTACTTTACCCTTTATTTTGTCCTCATAGTCAAAACTCAAAATTTTGTAGCCTTTGTTTTTAGTTTTCCTTATATTCAATTGAGTAAATTTCAGTGATTTATAAAGCCTTAAAGTTTGAAGGAGTTTAATTCAGTTTTATAAGCTCCACGTGTATTTCAAGTGAATTCTAGGTGGATTTAAATAGAGTTTGTGAGTTTTTTATCATTGATTTTGATAGATTTCCATAAATTTTGTAAATTTCAATATTGTGATGTCGTGAAACTTCTACGGTTCAAAATCAAATTTGCATCTGATGAACAAATTAGAGGTCGAAATAACAATCAATCAGTATTCTTTTCCAAACAGCTAAATCAGACCTTTTATCAGATCTTGTAGGAGCCCCTCTGTTCACAAAAGAAAACAAAAAACATTACAGCAAAGGTACTTTCCCGAAGCTGCTTGATTAAAATATTCACTATTCTTAACTCCAAATCCTCCTAAATGTTTAGGATTACACGTATTGTCCCATGAAATGAGAAGTAAATTTGAATTAGTTCGCCCATAATCACTAGTTATAGGGCAAAAATCGGGGGAAACTTGTTAAAATTTTATTGAGTTGAAATTGTAGTTTTGGAACAAGGAAATACGACCGAATATGATTTGGGTATTAAGTAGGATCACTTTCCCAATACGAGAAACAAAATTAAACTTCCATCCCAATAATATAGAGAAAATTAGAATGCCTTGCATTTTTTTAGTACTTTAGAGAGAAAAGCTATGATCTTTTGCCTTCTAATTTGTCGATTTAGTTTGTGGAGAGAGTTTTTTATTCGGTATTTTTCTGGGGTATATTTTTTGAATTTTAAAATTCAAAGATAAAACTGATATTTACCTCCTTAGTTTTCAAATTGCAAATAATATTAGTTTTTAGATTTTGTAGGCACTTTTTCTATTTGGAATGGCATTAAAATCCCTCCTGAAGTTGCTGATTCTTTTTTTGCAGCTACGGATATAGAAAAAGAAAAATTGGAGGAAGTCAAAGAGCAAAATTGCCCAGTTGTTTGTGATAAGCCAAAGAAGTCTGAATTAACTATGCTTGTTGCTGTAGTCTCTATAAACATTAACGTGCAGTACTCACTCTATTCATTAAGTATACAAAATTATGTTCTTTAAGATATCAGACGATATATGTAATGTACCAAATATATATATTTTTTAAATAATATAAACGTACCAAATACGTACCAGATAATATATGTCATGTACCAAATATATATTTTTTAAATAAATATAAGCGTACCAAAAATATATATAAACGTACCAAATGCAGAGTTTATTTTGATTTCACAACTCAACCATCGCAATGTGATGAAGCTGTTAGGCTGTTGTTTGGAGACGGAAGTGCCCTTACTTGTTTACGAGTCCATCACAAACGGGACTCTTCCAAGCCATATCCACATTAATAAATGAAATCGGTAGACTTCTTCACTTAGATTTTCATGAGAAAAGAAATACAAACGTACCAAATATGTACCAAAAAAATTATTAAAATAACGTACTAAATATATACCAAGAAGAAATATAAGTTTAATCAAAAGCACTAAACAAAGAACAAATAAAAAAGCATCCAAACGAAATAAATGGACAATTTCTTCTACTAATAAGGTTTTTTATCGTTTATAGCCAAAATTGGCTACTCAATTCATAAATGTCAGTTTTTATGAAAAATTTCAATTATAGTAAAAAACTCAACCGAATAGACTTATATACCCTCTAAATTAAATTCTAATTACCATCTAGAGCCTAATTCCCTTTCAATTTTTTTGCATGGTTGTTCAATGAGGAAGGGGATAGAAAAGGGCCTGGTCACACGGACCAAAATTGCTCAGCCCCCGTGGGCTTTGGCTTATATTTTTGGGCCTCGAGCTTCATTGTTTAATACTTTTAGACAATTTGAGTTTTATATTTTTTCTTTCACCACACTTTAAATTTTGGTCCGAAGTCCAAATACTTAATCCAATTATAACTATAGACCCGAAGTTATGTTTGCATATTTTTGTTGCATCTTTTTGTGTATATATTTGTGTTTGCCTGCAAGAACATATGAACTTGAAGTTCATAATTATTTTGAAACCTGAAGTTTCTTATAAACATGCCTTATTTGAAAACCTGCAGTTTTCTTTAAAAACATCACCCATGAACCCCCGAAGTTTTTTCATGCAAAATTAAACCAATACATGTCTATTAGAACCTGTATGTTCTACTCCTATGTGAATGGATTGATTTTTCTCTATTACACTTACCACATCTTATCCATCTATTTTGTGATAGGAACATGTATCTCACCATTGAAGAAGAGACGAACAATCATGTTGGTGAAGCTAAAAAAGCCACTACTATGATCTTTATCCAAAGACATATCCATGACACCTTGCAAACTAAATACCTTGCTGAGGAGGATCCAAGTGCACTATGGGTCGCTTTGGCTAATCGTTTTGATCACCAAAAGGACATATTCTTGCCTAAAGCAAGAGACGACTGGCAACATTTATGCTTCCAAGACTTTAAGTCTGTAAATGAATATAATTCTAAAATTTGTTGAATCCAATCACTTCTCAAGTTTTGTAACGAAACTTTAACCGAAGAGGATCTCATGGAAAATACCTATTCGACCTTATCTGCTTCTAATATTGTCCTGTAGCAACAATATAGAGCTCAAAAGTTCACTAAGTTCTCGGATTTGATCTTTGTTTTACTTCTCGCTGATAAGCAAATCCAGCTGTTGATGAAGAATCATCAAGCTCGGCCTACTGGAACGACTGTTGTGCCTGAAGCACACTATAGCACAAACCAACGCCCAAAACACCAAAAGAGGTGTGGTAGGGGCGGCCAGAAGCTACCCCGCGAAGGTCAACAGAGTCAAGGCCCATCCAAGGGAGGAAACAAAGCCTAGAAGCGCTCAAACCTCACTCTCAAGGCCCCGAACTTCAAGAATAAGGGCAAAGCACCTAAAACCATGGATGCGGATATGTGCTATCACTGTGGTTCAAAGGACCATTGGTCCCGTGTTTGCCAAGCTCCCCAGAAGGTTGTAGTTGAATATCATTCTCGTTGTAAGAAGTTTGAATCAAACTTCGTGCAAGTGGACGAACCGGAGACTACAAAGATGGAGGTTTCTGACTTTCAAGAGGATACCACTCCCATGAAGATTAGAATCTTAGACATAAACAATTTTAGTTAGTTAAAATTGCACAATGGGGCCGAATTCCACCTAATGGCCGAACTCCCCTTTGTTTTTTGGTTGATTTTTGAACAATTTTCTTTATGTTTGGATTATTTGTTGGTGATTTGTTTTTGGATATTAAGTTTTCTTAATTACCATCCTTGAATAAATCAAATTATTTTGAAATGATATTTGTTTTTAGAACTTTTATGCATGTGACCGATTCAAATTAATTTTTCATTCTAGGTATGACTAGTGGGGAAGTTAGTTGTTTGGCAGATAGTGCAACCATGCACATAGTTTTGCATGAACGCATCTATTTCACTAACTTCATACCTAAGAATGCAACTTTAACAATCCTCTCAAGCCTATCCAACCTAATAGAAGGATACGGTAAGGCACGTATAATGTTATCTAATGGTACAATCTTGACCATTTCTGAGGCACTCTATTCTCCATGTTTCAAAAGAATGTTGTTAAGTTTGAAGGACATTAGAGATAACAATTACCACACTAAAACCCACGTAGAAAATGAAGTTGAATTTATGTGCATAACTTCCTACGAATATGGCTAAAAGCGTATTCTAGAGAAGATGGAGCGTATCGCGAGTGGTCTGTATACTACGACCATACACCCCATAGAATGCCACTATGTGGCCGACCCTACAACTGGGACCGTGCACGAAATTTACACTTTGGCATGATCGCTTAGGACATCCTGGACGAATAGCGATATGTTGTATCCTCCAATCATCACACGGGCATCCACTAACCCGAAGTTTAGGTTCGATCCAAAGAATCGCATGTCAAACATGTTTTATGGGAAAGTTTATTACTAGGCTTTCTTATGACAACATTTGTTCGAATCCTCCCATTTTTCTACAACGGATTCAGGGGGACATTTATGGACCGATTCACCCTCCCTGCGGACCATTTAGATACTTTATTGTTTTGGTTGACGCTTCCAT